TTCGAATCAATATGCAAAGTGCATAAATTGGTTTACCACCCCAGGCATCTTTCAGGCATCTAAACACATCTTCAGATTCACAAGGCACCAGGTGGACCTGTCTCATGGGGCATTTGAATATTCCAGCCTACTTGAAGGATCGATGGCATTCTAGGCAGGCAATGGCCTAAGCATCGGCTACCTGATCCATAACGTCAGATGGAATGGTGAGGTCGTCAATCCAAAGATGTAGGACAAATGTATAGACGTCTAGAGCGTCATTGGTCATGGCTTCAAAGAGGTGGCGTTTCCGTCGTATAGACAGGGCCGATTGAATCCTCCTCTGCTGTGTGAGTAGGGTAGTCCATGGAGTAGGTTCGTATTTACGATCGAAGAAATGCTGCATAGGTTCATGAATAAGGAAAATAGGAAATTTAGCCATGATACGATGATGCACGATGGATTTTACTTTTCAACCAGAACAATTTACCATTATACCAATCATAACGAAAATTTCACGTTCGGCATCCATTTCGGCACAGCACTACACCAAACCCCCGGCAGCTCCGACTAGAATGGGCGATTATGCAGATTGACCACCTCACGTATCGAGGACTAAATAAATGCCAAAGGACACGCCAATTATGCTTAATCGAAATACGCCTCCTCACCGTTATATGCCTATCCGCATTGCCAGACTAAATATTTAACCGCCACAGGTCTTGAGAAACATATGCCGATTCATAACCACACCCAAATCTCAGATGATCAACTTATTTGGTCCTCCAAGATCCCGAAATTTAATACGACGCCGACAATACTAAATAAACCTCCGCAAACCATCTCAGAGCCATTCAAGGTCTTTCAATGTCCACTTTACCTTAATAATTTAAATATTCATATTAATCGAATGATATAAATACTAAATCGAGAAACCAACCTTTTATATTTTCCAACCCAATCGAAATATGGTATCTAATTATTTAACCTATACATATTGTTTACCTTCTTACATCATTAAGATTGTATTTCGCCTACAATATCAACGAATTAATTATCTTATCCTAAATGGATTATCAAAAATCAATCCTTCGATCCTATCCTTTCATAATACACTCGCCAGATGAATATTGCACTTATTGATGTTGAAATTAATAAAATTCCTATCCCCCTAAAATCCTATACCATGAGATAAAGCAAGGTGTGGGCGTTTATTTATCCCAGAATTTTTTTTAAATATAATTTTAACAGGGTATAATAATTAATCGTCCCACACCTACCACGAAAATTAGACTTATTAATTCGATCCGCCACTAACCTCAAAATATTTTGAAAGAAGACGAACAAACGTAAATATTCATTTAAACAGCTCAAAACAAAAATAAAATTCAATTTATATTATTATAACCCAATTATAAACAAATATTGTATTTATTTATTTCAAAACATAAAATATACATAAATCTATCTACGAAAATATTCTACTTATATATATATAAATATATATAAATAAAATAGAATATGTTAATCAAACAACCAACATGGCTTGTGCTGATATAAGACCTGTTTCGTAGACCTTCACACTGTACAAATTCAAATGAAAACCTGGAACATGAAGGTCAGGGGGGCAGGAAAAACCTTCTAGGAAGGAAAAAAAACCTGCCACAATAAATATTTTATGAATTAATATTTTAATTAACAATAATCAATTAATTATTTATCAATGCAATACCCCTTTTTAATACAATAATTGCATTCGTTAATGTTAGATTTCGATTAGTAAAGGGTCCCTCTATAATGCTAAATTTTTTTTTTCAAATATATTTAGACCCCCCTGTTTGAAAAATTAATCCTAAATAATGCTAATTTTTTTTTAAGATCCTAAATTTTTAAATTAGAAATCTAATTAGTAAAGGCTTAAATTCCTTCTAAGGCCATTAATTATGATTCATTAATTAATATAATTTTCTCTAGGTTTCTTCAAAACTAACAATTAATCAATATTATCAATTCCCCAATTAAAACCTTTATAAAACATTGCTCCTAAACAAATTTTCAAGATAATAAACCAAGAAAGCACCTAAATCTCAATAATAAATGGGTTTTTCGGTCCACAATTGGGAAAAAAAAACCATTAGAAAAAAATATGGATGAAATCTCCCCTTTACTTAGCTCCTAATGCCAATAATTATAATTCATTAATTAATATAGCTTTCTCTAAATTTCTTCAATACTAACCAAAACCACCAATTAAACCCTTTATAAAACATTACTCCTAAACAAATTTTCAAGATAATAGACCAAGAAAACATCTAATCCTCAATAATAAATGTGTTTTTAAATCCTCATTAAGGATTTAAAAACAAATTTATTATAAAAAATTGTTCATAACATCTTCCTTTATTTAACAAATTATAGAAGCCAAAAAATAGCCAAAAACTTAGGGTTTCTTTTAAGCTAAAAATTTAAGATTGCAAAACAAAAAAATCTCTAAAAACAATTATAAACATAATTAAATACAAATTATAAAAAGAAAATAACTATTATAATTACAAAAAAAAATTCTAACAAATTTATTTTAATATAAAAATCCCCCTATTTGTTAAAAAAAAAAAGAAAAGGTCCCTTTACTATAATAATCCTATTTCCCTAAAATCCTATATCATAAAATACAAAAAATATAAAAAATCATTTGTACCAGAACATATTTTATTAATATAAATTTAAAATAATTAATAATCGTTCCATACCTGCCACGAAAATTAGACTTATTAATTCGATCCGCCGCTAACCTCAAAATATTTTACAAGAAGACTATCAAGCGTAAATATTTATCTACCTAAACTATCAATATTTATAATTCCGGTTAATATACCTTATTAAACACAAGATTTGTCCATCGGGAGCAATTATATAATCGTATTCCATTCCATTTTAGCAAAATTGTACTTAAGATGGTTCCATTCCTTCATACCTTAAATAATTCATTTTTAGAATTCCGTCATGTTGCCATTAAGGACACGCCATACATTCGCTTCCTAGACTTCTGCCAGACGGTACACCCGCAATACTGGGCTCGGCACTCAACAGACCAAGAATTAATCAGGTTCGAGACCATCGAATTCCATTCCATTTCATGGAATTGCCCGCATGCTTTCAGATGTAGCTTTTTTGAATTTAAACATGTATTAGTCCAAGACTAATTTCATTTGTGTGGGGCACAAGGCATTCGAGATAAAGCGTATGAGCGCAGAAGATCAATCTTTTGCCGATTTGATGGAAATCTATGGCACTCACTTCGGCAAGAAGGCCCAGGACGGAAGAGGAGGTCAATGAATCCGCACGTCCTCATACCCGCAAAGATCAGAAGAAGCCCTCGCGCTCATCGGATTCGGACTGGGACGAAGGTGGGAACTTGATCACCATGATAGCAAAATTGACATTGAGGCAGGAGGATCAATTGAATCAGCTCCACCTTGACAAGACCTTCATCCTTTTCGCTCAAGCGGAAAAGGCTCTATTCTTCTTCAGATGCTGCAGCTATCCAAAGACTGGCACTCCCAACGGGATCAGGGCACGGTCACGAAATCTTTGAGACAGCACATGTTTCAATCGGTCTTCGAGGAGTTGGCCACCAAAGCTTCGAAGCTGCCGTTCGGGTCAAATGAACACGAACTGATACAAGCTCTCCAAACGAAGCAGATTTTGACCTCCACCAATGGCTGGAACTACATGCAGCGGGATCCAAATGCCAAGACCCTGAAGGCGGCAGCGAGAGATCCATTCTCTTTAGAAGAAACCTCAGCTTTGATTCAGAAGATCCACAAGCTGGCAGCTCAGAGCGACCTGATTTACCGCGTCTCGGCTTTGAAGCCAATACCACAGGACCAGATCTCCAAAGACTCAATCGTGGTGGTACCATGGAGGTTGGACATCTCCTTGAGAGGCCCTGTTGCACAGGAACTTCACGAATCCCTGATGAAGCTGACAGGCAGCGGATTGATTCAGCTGATCTTGGTACGCATCCGCCCCTTGATTTTTCAGAGCTTTCCATTGGCTCGGGCCATTGCCTCTCGCCTGAGGAGATTGGCAGAACTTTAGGCCTATTGTATAGACAATACGTTTGACTGGTCGGACACTGGAGTCTAGAAGAAGCCTTTGCACCTTTTGCTCACTCAGGGATGGATAATGCAATGGCTCACTAATCCTACTTGCCTTTGACGCCTTTTGGCCCCTTGCTTTGTGCATCATGCTGCGGGGCACCAGCATAATGCCCGTAATATAATTTCGCCTGGCCTTGCACAGAAGTTCGTAGGAACATGAAAAACATATTCCTTCATGAGAAGCAAGCTTTGAGGCCACGACTGAAGACCCAAATTTAATCTGTCCACCTGTGTTCCTACGATAAGAAAAACCGGGAGATTACACCGTATAGAATATAATTCCATTGTAGTTTCGATGCCTCAGCCACGACCGTATGCCTTCAGATCAATCGCTTTCCACACTTAGATGAAAGGTCCAAACAGCAGATTTGCTAGAACTGAGTGCCGATTCATATACCCTATTTCATCAATACCACCCGTTAAATTATTCGATAGGAAAAAAGTTTTATTTCCGTTATCCTCCACCGAGGTAAAGAGCCACATTGCGGCCATTGCCAGACATATCTCCGCACAAGCGGGAACCGCTTCCTCATTAAAGATTGTGTACGTGCAACCATTTGTATGCATTCGCCTAACATGGACAAAGACATTTATTTCATTTGGTTAGTGGCACGAAACCACCTCACCAACGCTTAGAGCGAGTTGCATCTCCACTTAATCATGTTGTTCTGTTCAAGCCTTGTAATTCATGTACCTTTTAACTATGCCGCCCGGGCGCCAATACGCGCGATACAGCCGACCACATAGTTAAAGCCCAACACGAGCAAAAAGACCTCTACCAAAAGTAAAAAAAACATATATATATATATTAATATATTCAATATATATATATATTTCTAGAATATATTCTTTAATATTTTTTATATTCAGATTATAATCCATTTAATTTCCGTTTCTTGGAATCGTATTCCTAGTATGAAGCAAAATAGGAAGAATTAGGAATAATAAGATTAAATTCATTGAATTATTGGGCCTTCCCAATCGAACACAAACCCAGCCTTCGCGCAGGCCAACCTCGGAGTCAAGGGCTTGAAGCCATGCGATCCCAAAACACTCGACGACATCCGGTCCCCAGCCGGTGACATGGATCAACAACTTTGCAAAAAAGAAAACATGCTAAACTGATCTAAAATTGTCTTTCTCCTTGAGGTGCATTTAATCTCTGGGATGGAGAGGTAGTCGCTTCCATCCCACAGAAATGTTGCATTATTCTTTGTCGGCCTAAGCAAAACAACCAGGAGAAATCATTGACCCGAATCTCAGGTCCTATCGCCACCTAGATGGTTAGATGGTCTGAAAACTCGCATTGCAAAACCATCTGGGCAGTCATGGACATGTGTGCCCGTTAAACTTTAGATTTATGGTGCCTAGAACGGGGCCGGCTTGACCAAGTGACATTTTCTCAAATGCAGTCATCAGGCGTTCTTTCTCAGGATGGAATGCCTCAGATCCGTTCACACTGACACCTTCGACACACCACGCCCAGGATCACACAAACACATGAATGCATTGTAAACACTCTGAAACATACCCTCCAAACAGCTACCAACACGTTGCACTCAACTGTTGCAAGAAAGCGATGGCCTCCAACCTAATAGCGATGGCCTGATCTCCCAACACGTTGCGACGAGCTGTTTCGACGAGCCAAGCATCCGATGAGATCGCCTGACGCTGGATGTCAATGACGTCTGCTCGTGAGAGTCCAAAGGCCTTCCAAAATGTACGCAGGCAAGGATCAAAGGGATGTCACACTTGTGGGCAACCAGGGGTCGCACGTATTCTGATCAAACGAGCCCTTTTGTGTGTTGGGAGCTGGGCCAAACGGAATGTTGATCTCGCATGAATTTGGTCACTCGATATCTCTTTGGAGTCACTTAGTCCTTGCGCCTGGGCCAAATCGTAGACTTCCGAGGACAAATCACAGGAAAAAAGGCCTAACACACCGGCGCTGAGTGTCGGAACCATGAGCAACTGTGCTGGGAGGCTGATCTGATTGCGATCACTGAGTGCCGTTCCAGTGTCGTCGGTGTTGATGCCTAAGCATGCGGGCCATGTGCAATTTGAGGTGTCCATGTTGAGCAACCTGCAGCCCGAAATGAACTCTCAATAGAAGACATAGAAGATACAAAATAAAACATGCCAGCCAAGTCTCTGAGAAGGACCTTGTCAGATTTCTTCCACCAATCCAGGAAGTGGTGTTCCTTCAAGCCTCAGGCAGCTCCAGGAACAAAATATAAAACCCGTGTCGTGCCTTGAAACCTTCCAAGAACATCTAAAACCAGTCCCTAGCAACTTGGATGCAACTTGGGTCAACGGCCAACTCTTGCCGACAGGAAGCTTGATATTTCTTTGGTGACCATGTTCGATGTGGGACACACTTCCTTGGTGAATGCCAACTGGGATTTGGCTTCAATGCATCAAGCACTAAAGCCAGCTCTTCATGGACAACCCATCTACAAAATAGCATGGTAACATCTGTATCTTTCTACGATATTGCCTATTGCTGTATATCAGTGTCGGTGTCTGGCTGTTTGAAAACACCACAACGGGCCGATCTCACGGCGAACGCGAATCTGTCGTTCCGAATCCTGGATTTACTCAGTGAGTCCCACCGAGCACCGAAGTGCAAAGAAGGATCCACACCAACACCACCGTCTTCGTAGATTCCATCGAGCACTCTTTGGCGCAAAAAGGATGGTAGGTGGGTCACATGACCCAATCGCCTTTGGAGCTGCGCTGCGCGTCAATTGTTGGCTGCTCTTCCTATTCTCAGCTCATACAACCACATGATGCAAAAATAACGAGAAAAGGACCAGCTTCGGGTCTGCCAAGCAATGCAAGTGTTATTGAAAGCTTACATTCTTGGACCCTCCATGTTATGGTGCGTGCCCCTCTGCCACTGCCACTCGCCTGATGTTCAGGTCTCGCATGCCTTAGCTTCCCACGTGTGAGCTGGAAACTCTGGAGGCATCTTCCGGAGTGTTGTGACAAGCGACTGTCAATGATCAGCTTGCTCTCTTCCTGAGTGAAGCTCACGCACCAAAGGATGCTTCCCAAAATGGTACCAAGTTGTGCAACATGCTTGCCTGACAGTTGAGTCTTCAACAAATCAAAAACTTGTTGTTGTTTTACGTCCAGCTGTTATGAACACAAAACGGGCTACCTTGCTTGCTGCGACAGATTGGACAGTCCCGACTCTCCCGACATAATCATTTGGCTGTAAGCTGATAGCCTTATCACAGCTCTGATGCCAGAAGCATCTACCTAAGCAAAACCAAAAGAAATAACGTTAGCGTCAAACACTATCACTATCTACACTAGCTGGCAAAGCTTCATCATCCACAATCTCGGAGGTGTGGAATGTGATGGGAAGCTTCTGGAACTCGTTTTTGCGCTCCTCAGTCTTTTATCTTAGCGGCTGCAGCTGGCAGGGAAAGAAGGAGGGAATGGCTTACAATACAATTCTTTTGAGCATGGCAGCCCGTCTAACACTACAGTGATGCGATACAACAATTCGCTCCCTGCAAAGAAAGAGTGCCCGGCGCAAAAGGTTGCATAAACTCGTGTGAACATGATTTAAAGCATGTCAAAACATGTGATATTTACGCGAGCCACAAGCATGCAAGTTTGGACATAGGACATTCTTGCTAAACCCAATCCGTTGGTGATGTGTTGGATGTTTGTATATAGTCTCCCACGCATCTCGCCTGCAAGGCTGGCAGCAAGTGAGGCACGACTGTGGGCTGGTGTGGGTCTCCACACACATCGACGCCCACGACCAAGTCTGCATGCTCCTGGTCAGGTGTACATGCCTCCTAACTCCTAACGGACAAATAATGACAAAACTTGCTCAGGTTGGAACTCTAGGGGTTCCAGTTCCATTTTGCAATCTCCTCAGAAAAACATTCATAGGACCTAGAAATGTTGACAGTCCAAGGCCCTTGGGGTGCAAAGCAGTTGCTCGCTTCACAGGATCGTCTCTGGTCTCAATGAGTCTAGAGTCTAGAAGACAACTGCAAAGCATGTAGATCCTTCAAATTTGTGCTGCACATCATAGCGCTTCTTGAGTTCTACTCCTCTGCAAACATCAGCAATATATACGACGTGATGTAAGGCCGGCCGCCGCATGAGGCGATGCAAGGCAGCCAGGACACACGCCAGTACAAACAGCACAATGGATTTGTACAAACAGCATCCGGCCTTTTGTAGCTTCAACACGTCATCGATCTGTGCCTAGGATGTCAACAATCAAACCACAAGCACCTCGGCCTCCCACTTCCTCACACCTCTCACAGTGCCAGGGCAAACAACTTAATTATAACTCATTAAGGTTCCCAAGAAGAAAACATCCGCCAAAGAAAGATTCAACACGTGCAGTTGCAACGTCATGTCAACTAAACGGGCACAATAAACACACTGCCAACTCCACTCCAGCATCCCATCAGTTCAATCTATCCCTGCCACAACACTGCTTGGAAAACTCATAGCTACTACGAGTACGTCCACTTCCCATCTCAATCTGTTCCACTAATTACATCTTCACACGTGGTCCCAGTCGAGCAGTCCCCATTTTCCATCTCCTCTCGGACTTCGAGCATACTCCATCCGAGCGGCCAAGGCTGAGTCCTTGGACGTCACCTTTCCACGGTCCACACTAAGAAGCACCTTCACCTCAGTTTCCCGCGGCCTCGTCACCGTTGACTCGTCCAAAACCATCCACGGATCCTTATGATCCTGGGGTGCTGGGGACATTCCTGTAGACTAATCATCTGCCCATAAATCATCGAGCCAGCAATGTTTCTGAAAAACGATTGAAACATCCTCTTTGGTGCTTGTGGCTTTACAACTCAGGAAACACGAACTTCCAGGGTTTGGGCCATTTGGGTAGCATTCTGATGGCGTTAGAAGGGGATTACTAGGTCTACAGTGTTTTTGGCGGCAGGAGCCCGTGCAAGTTTGATCTCTTCGTGCCCATTGGTTGTGATGTGAGAGACGAGTCAGCTGGTGCGGTAGGTCCGTAGCACGATTCGGCACAAAGAGCTCGGACGACCCACGGCCCAATTCTTGCCAACCCTCAACAGGGGTGGTCATAGATGGTCTTAGCTTATCTTCATAGATGGTCTTAGCTCTCTTTTTATCGGAAAGCTCTGGAAGTTCATTCACGACAAAGACTGAAGCTCATTCAGACTCAAACTTTTTCCACAGGCCTCCATGACAAAGCCATACCGCTGCATTGCCTCATGGCCACTCGGCAACTCTGAAGCAAGTCATAAGCTGCTACAGCACTAGCTAGGCACATTCGATCCCTCCTGGGCCACTGTAAGCCGAGTTTGTGCAAAGCTCTACGGCTCTGGAACCATCTTCAACTCTTTATAACTCATGCTGCCAGGAATTCTCAAATCAACAGTTGTCCATCATACCCGTGTTTGGCTGCTTCCGACACTTTTGCGCTTCTCGCCCATTTTCCTGTGCCTGGGCATGAAATTCATCGATGGCAGCACGTACTGTCTCCAAGTACTGGAGCTTCGTGGTGAGGTGCCTGGGGCTTTATGTGCTCGAAGATGATCAGGGAAACAGGAGCATGAGATGCTTCATTCATGAGATCTCTTCCAGATTGTGACTGAGCAAACTGCATCACTTTGACTAAAGCACAAACGCTTCACCCGATGTTTCTTTAAAAACTTCAAGCCGGGGAGCTCTTCTCCATTCACCACCTTTCAAACACCGCACAGAACGAATCGCTCTCTGATGCAACCCTCCTCTGCCCATGATCCGCACTCAGACTCCATCCCACTAACATCTCGCCACTGCCTTTGTGATGCGCAAAACAGTGTCCAGCACGTGAGAGTGTGTTTTGACAGAAAGCTATCCTGGCCCTGGTGTAGGGCGTGTCATGCTTCCATGCCTTGAACTGCTTGGGAGACGTTCGGAGTTCGAGGTAGATGCAATTCTCTGCCTTGGCGGGCGAAATGCACACCCTTCAAAACGTGTTAAAATGTGTGCAATCACTTCTCACTTCCCTGTCTCACTAGCAGCTGTTCTAAAGGCTTGAAGCCGTGGCAAAAGCTTTGTTTGAATCATTGCAGGGCGGCAGGTTCTTGGGCTCATCAGCGATGCCCGTGCCACTCTGAGCCTCTGACTGCGAAAGAGTCCAAGACATGCAAGGTGCACTCCTGAAAGTCTCCACTGGTCTGGCTCTTTGTTTTGCCATGTGGAGATGGGACTTGTTCCTGTCCGGCAACCTCCTGATATCAACTGGTCACTCGGTCCTTCAGGGTTTCCAAATCCACCACCACACTGGCCACCTGCCGGAGCAAGGCTGTGCTGGGCAGTGACTTTTCTGCCACATCAATCGAAGGTACCTTCGCAAAGTAGCCAAAGCATTTCTGCAAGGCGTTTGACAGGTCCTTTGCGGCACAAGTTGCGCAAATGATGCACACGTGCAGCTGCAAAGAAAAAGGAAAAACTTGTATATAGTTAAAATGTCTTTCACCTCTCCCTCCCTCCCCCTCCCTCCCTCCCTCTCTCTCTCTCTCTGTGCACTCTTCATTCAACTTCCTTCATACACAGGCTACACAGGACAAGCTTTTGCTTCAAATACCTCCCCTGCCGGAACAGCCGGTCCGTCTGATGCCTTGGCATGCCCGTGTCGTTTGCAGCGTCTCAAGGTTCAGTGGCCAAGTAGCTCCGTGGAAGTTGAAGGGCTGAAAACTACCACCTTGGCCTCTTCTCTCCAAAAGCTCGATCCTCAAATGAAAACTGATGAGCGACACGAGCTGTTGGGCAAAGCCAGGGTTTTTTTACGACTATTCACGACTCATTTCCTCTTACAGCTGGCACAGGAAGCAGCAAGTCAATCGATTGTGAGGGAACCTGAGGTCCTGAATTGCAAATTCACTTAAACCAAAGCCGTTCTCGTATGAGCCGGGGTCAAAGTGCTCCGACCCAAAATCGGAAATGTTTACGATTATTCCATCGGGCCTCTCTGCACTTGTCCAAGTCATAACGAGGAGGTCCACTCTTCCGGCCTTTTGAAGTCGAGCTAGCATGGAGTCGAGCTAGCACATGGAAATGGAGCTAGCTGGCCGCAACTATCCAAGCCAATGAACAGCTCCAAGCCTCCAAGCTTTCTCGTTTCAAAACCGCCCAACATGTGGGCTCCCCTTGAAACATGCATCCAGGAAGCAATTTCTCCTGAGTGATTGAACCACTAAGATGTGCATGCAGCTCCACTTTTGGCAAAGCTCTCACCTCTTCCAACCTGGCCGATTGACCCTCGCCACCAATGAGGTATCCAAAAACAGGGAGAGAGTGAGAGAGACGAAAGCATGAGAAACACTCGGAAAACACTTGAGTGACCTTCTCACCAAAACGTAATCCTTGCTAGCCTGTAATGCAAGAAGTGCAATTCACAGCCAACGAGACGGGCCAGCACAAATAGTGCCAACACGGCGAACATACCAGAAAAGCAAGCTTGCTCTCAGCGTGCAAGTTGAGTCTCACATTGAAGTGCCAAAAGGCTTAAGTGAGCAAAACGCAAAACAGTTCCACCGTAGTTCCCAATACAAAATCTGGCTGGCACCATTGCAAATCATGAGACAAGTCCGCCACAAGCTACTAATCTTTTGGCACAGAAACGAGAGTGGACAACCAACATGATCTCCACATTGCGGCGACATGAGCGCGTCTTTGCCACTGAAGACAAAGATGTTTCCTTGTCACTGAAGTCTGACATGTTCGGACCATTTTTCAATGTTGCTGGTTGAAGCGAGTTACACACAAACTCCCCCTGTCATTCTCACCAGCTGTTTGTTTTCGAACCTCGGTCGCAGTTCGTGAAAGAAGCCCCCTATTGCAATGACTAGTTTTCAAGCCCGAGCCAAATGGAAATATATGGAACATGGAGTAGCATTGAGTAGCATTAAGGATATGTCAATTTGATTCAATGAGTCAATTGCGCAATGTCCATCAGTCTCTCAAATGGCGGAAGAGATGAGAGAAAGGACAGCTACCATATGCTCCGTTACGCGTGTTGGTGACATTCCTTTGGCTTTTCATGGCTCTTGTCGCTGTGTGCCTTGATGCACGAGGCAGTTTAGTGCTTTTTTATTGATAACTTGTGGCTCATAATCTGAACAACAATGCAAGTTCAGGGCACACACATTGGACTCCTGGCGTGACATCTCAGACACAAAAACATGACGAGATGATTCCAGCAAGAAGGCAAGAAAAAGGCGACCTGGTGTGCCCTAACACTTGCACCGTGAATCCTGCAACTGAGCTGTGTCCTGGCTTGTGCGAGGTCAACATTACCCAGACCCACAGCTCCTGGACACGAACTCTAGAAACAACCTGCTTGATCCTAGCTGATAAACGTTCAATGTCGTTATTTAGTTCATGCCCATATATGTACCAACGGCATCTAGGAATGCCAAGCTTATTCTCAGCAGAACATTGGACGAATTAATGCACTGATTTTTGCATTTAGCATAGGCAGCCGCTATGATCAATCGCGACCCATGGTGACATCATCCTCAAATGTGAGCCTATGGGGGGTCCCAAAGCGATTCAGCGATTGACATTCATTCCTCATCAATGGTTATAAAGTTCTATATGCCTCAAACCCTCCTGAACCTTGTCAACAAATCATCACTTCTATTAGTTGTTTGCAGAATTTTGTAGTGTGCAGGGAGCCATCTTTAGGGTGCTATGACTTTAGGAGCTGACCTCATGGTGCCAACACGTGCCCACTCTGTGCAGGGAGCTGGCCCTAGTTGATTGTGCCATGGTCCTCTTTCAAAAGCAAAGTTTGATAGGCACCTTCTCTGGTGTGGGCAAAGCTACGAGGTGATCAAATCATGGCCTCAGCCCTCATGCTAGCCTCTACACCTGACTTCTAGGTAATTACCTGGATTTTGATGTCTGATTTCCGGGTCGCTGCGCGGTGCGTGCCAGCGTTCTTGGAGAGCTCTGATGCCCAGCCAAGGTACAGCCAAGGTACAGCAACCCATCACGTTATTTTTTTTTCACGAAATGGGGGGCCCATGATTTGAGCAGGCCGGGCAGTCCTTCATTAAGGCATCAGGGCTCCTTTATATACACTCCAGCAAATCTGGCGTCTCTGGTGTCCCAAATCACGACACCGTCATCTCAAATACAGCAGGCCCTTTAGTCTCGAGCCGTGCCAAGTTCCGAGGCACTCACCAAGCTCCGCGGAGCGGCTGCAAAGCGAGGACTAAGAAGAAACATCAAAACCACACCATTTACTGTACATCTTTTCATGTAAGTGTACAGTACGAGGCTGTTCCTTAGATTCCATATCTTTGGCAAGTGCATGCTTTGTGGTGCCAAGTTTGGTGGTTTGGCCTTGCCTTGTAAAATCCAGTTGCCCAAATTGTGTCAGCATGAGTCCGTGTGGTTGTCTGCAGCTGTTCCTGTCGTGCAGCTATCCTACAGCATAGGCCAATTGCCATGGGGCCATCTTTAACAAGTGTTGTCCATTGGTGGGTTTTCCAGCGGATGGATTTCAGGAGATGGTGCAGTAGTGGTGCTAAACCATGCTTAAGCTGTCAGATTTGGACATTGCTGCTTGCATATGCCTCATCCTATGGACGTGCCGCTGCTTCGAAGCTGCTTCTTCTTAACCGCTTCGCCAGGCTTAGCTAGGCCACTCGTTGGCGGTGCACCATAGCGAGCTTCTCAAGTTTGCGAGTTCCAAATAAGATCTGAGATCGGGGATACAACAACTGCGTCTTGAACAATTAAACCTCTGCAACTAGGATCCGGGAGCGCTACATCCATTGAAAAGAACATCGCAAACCGCTCGCTTGCACTGGATTGCCATCTAAGTAGGGTTTATGAGACATCCTGCCTGGATTGTCTCTGATCCATACTGAAGTGATTAGCTGAAACCACAGAAAACATGTCCAAAACCTCTCGAAACCCGAATCCAGTATGTTGAATTGTTACTACTAGTAAGGCCAGGAGCCCCTAGTAGCTTCTTGCTCCTAGTAGTAAGGCACTTGTTTCTACTAGCTTCTTGTTACTACTAGTAAGGCACTTGTTACTAGAAGCGATGCACTTGTTCCTAGTAGCTTCTTTTCAAGTATTTCCTGCAGAGCCATTATTGTCATAAGATCTCCTTGTTTCCTGTTCACATTTCTGGACACCGGCTGAGCCTGAAGTGCTTTGCAATGCTTTTCACATCTCCAGGACTCCCGCCTTTTTCCCACACGGAAGCAGGTTATCAATACTATATTCACACCAACATACACCAACATGTTTCGATATACGCCATAAAGACCATAGGCGATCCCAACTTATAGTTGAACAGAAGGTAAGGCATTCTCTGGAGTGCTAAAAGCAAGCAAGCTGCCGGGTGGAAAATGCACGAGGCCGTGCCCGAGTAGCCATCCCTCAATCGTCCACCCTTGGGTGCGAACCACGACATCGACTTGTCAAACTTGGCACCTGACCAAACCAACATGGTAAAGCAGGGGTTCTCTGAAGTGGCTTGCCCCTTTACAATGTGTTGATGAGTTGATCTCAGTCTTGTTTGCTTCCGACGGATTTGACAATTATCCAAACAAACAGAATCTCTGAAGATTTGTGAAGACTTCTTCTCTTCTTCTTTGATCTGGTCCCCGGCACTCTGATCAAGAGGTATGCATATAGTTGTCACCTAGTCCGTGGCCTAGAATGTCATCTGAACCTTCAGTGAGAAGCACATCTGAATGGAGGTTTGCTGCAAATCCCCTTTCGAAAGCACCAAGCGGTATTCATCTCGCTTGATTTGTTTCAATGGAAGGCTACACTGAAGAGTTCTGACAGTCTTAGAATGATTTAAAATGTATCAAGCCGTTGTCACATTGGCATTCTTGTGAGGTCCAACTCAGCTTGTGTGTGTAGAGTACGGTAGTTCGACAAAAGCTTGTCGTGGGGAAAACTTGCCATGTGTTCGCCAAAAAAGTAATGAAACAGTTTGGATTCAATGCATGGCCTAAGCAGCCAAGAACACCGGTCTTTGCTCTGTCGTGCTCCTGTTAGCAATGGACATGTGAATGCAAATTAATGTGAACGTGGGATGAGGAAGGAAAGCGTGGGCAAAATGCCTTCTGGGCATGTATTACCCTTACTCGGACAAAGAGGATGGGAACAACAGTTTGTTGAAGAAAAACGAACCATAATCTATAATTGATCATAATTGTATACAGTAAATTGAACCATTCGTTCGATGGGACACTGGTGGCCACTGTTTGCTAACAAGCTGATGGGTGAGCTACGGAACAGCAAAGTCACCTCCATGGATGCTTCCTTTCTATGGTGCAGACCCAAAACCTTCGTTTTGTCACTGCAGTTTGGACATCCGCTGGCGCTCTGGGGTGCTGGCTCTGGCTTTGCCTGTTTCAGAGGACCCGCAAAATGGGAAGGAAGATTTTGAGACAAATGAACACATCTTAGACTGAAATAGAGATGCACGCTCCATACACTTTGAAACTCAATCTTTGCGCATGACGGTCTCCAAAGAGGGTCCTCGCGAGCCACTTATATATTCTTACCTATATGACTAGCCGTTACTTTTGCAGAAGGCCAAACAACCGCATCTCATCAAGTTCCAGGTTTGGCTAATTCCTGCTTTGGAAGTCTGAGTCAACTCCCACGTACAGGAGCAAGAATACTTCCCATGTGTCTTGTTCGCAACCTTGGGCATGTGTCATTGTACATTCAGGACTTGTGACTTGAGTTAAACAACCGTGCCATAAAACTGAAGTTATCAAACGTTATCAACAAAATTGACTGACTGAGAAATGACATGTTATGACATGCAATCTGTCCTCTCTCTCTCCCTCTGCTGAGGTAAATGTCCCTTTCACCTGTCTCTGAAAATGGCCATGGCAATGCCATGGCATTCTCAGAACACATCAGGGTTCAATCTGAGGACCCAAAAAATCTTCACCATTGAGTCGAGGCCTGCGGCAATCGTGGCGGCAAAGCGCCGCCCATAGGCCCTGGAGGCACCCTGAGCAAACGTGAGATGGACAAGATTGGCTTACACCACAAATGCGTCGTTGTTGATGTTGTGAATTGCAAAACTTGAGTTTGTTCGATCAAAATCGATCTACGACTAGAAAGTCTCTCTCATTTCTCATTTGTTGACATGTGGCGTCTGTTCTTTACTGTTCCGGAGTGAAAACTCGAAAAACACTCTGAACACCCAGCCATTCTGGCACCCCATCTAGCGCATCAAAGGCGTTTGCCGTTCACCCAGCGACCAGGGCTACAGCGGGCCAGGCTGACGAGGCACTGCTGCCTTGGCAGCTTGCCATCCAGGCAACTCTGGGACAACTCAATGAGATTTGGAAACAGGACCACAAGCCTATGGTTTCAACTATAGACCATCCGCACTCCGCACCGTGGGCAATTTTGGCTAGCAGGCTTCCTTTAGTGGTGCAAGAAAACTCTGGTCGTGTCTTGGAGTTACAGTAAGATATATAGGAAGAACACCTGCCGCTGGAATTTCTCTCTTGAACAAGTCTCTTTCTGGACTCTAGTCTTAGATGTACCACCTGCAATGTAACAATGTGCTACGCTTATGAACCTCTAGAAGAAAACAGTTGCTTGTCCTACCGCCAACTGGCTACGTTTCAGGCATGGGGCACCACCTGCAACGGGAAAAGGATGTAACAGGGACATGAATAGACTAGACTATATAATTATACCAAACCACCAAACCCAATCGTCCCTGTTTTC